ACGCCATCGACCTAAGCCCTTACTCAAACAGCACAACTAAGGTGCGAGGAGATTTCCCATGGCCATCCACTAAACCCTCACGGGGAGATCCTCTATGATATTTTACCCAGAATTTTGTTGTAGACCCACCAAAAAACTCATAAGTACACCGAAAACTTCATAAGTTCCACCGGAGAAAAAATCATCCATCGTCCCGACAGCGTCAGAATCAACAAAAACACCTAAGTTTCTAACACTCTAACAACGGCGGCAGAAAAATGGCTCAACCGCCGCCAGACACCAACATCCGCCAGAATGCACCTACTCTACCCGGTTTTCATCATAACCGCATGAAAATCTTAATAAAATAAGAATAAAAGCTTGCGTAAATCAAATAAGGATCAGAAACTTACATGGACGAAGATAAAGAAATTGTGGTCGTTAAAGCTTGGTCGATGCTCGTACGACTGTGTTACGACAGCAGACAGTGGCGAACGGTGACAGCAGCAGAAGAAGAGAGATAAGCAAAAAGTGAAAATGAATGCTTCTTCCCTCTATTTATAGGCAAGGAAAAAGCACGTGCACGAGCACGCGCGTGCCTAGGAAGGCGTAGGGGCATCATTATAACCCTAGACTGGCCATCATTACGCATTAACTACGGCGTGTGGCTCGATGCATGCGTGACACTTCATCCCTTCAAGTCCCATCAACCGTTGGGGTCCCCGCTCGCCGAACACGCAGGAAAATGTTTTGGGTTCCTCGGGCACGTATATTCCTCGAGCACCACGAAACAACTCCATCTCAGTAACAAGCGTCGACCACGCTTACTCCTCCTCGGGATCACAGGTTTCCCATAAGTCATCACTCCTATGCTCAGGAGCAACGACTTGGAGGGCTCCTGTTCCAGACTGGCCCAATGACTAGGCATGACCCAGTCCACTTCTGCATCCAGAACGGTCAAATAGTTTAAACCCTGCTAGTTAAGGGTAAAAAAACACTTTTTCTTCTTCCCCTCAGTCGAGGAGGGCAGGCCAGCTGGCCCCAAGGATCAATTGTCCTTCGTCACATCTCTGTCCATCATGCACGGTTCAACCATCCAAGAACGACCACGACTCATTCCCACGACCATGCCCCTTCTCGGAGCAACGATTAGTTTCGAGCAAGTCTTCCCGTCACAATTGCTAGTTTCTGGAAGTTACCTATTTTTGGATAGCGAATATCTAGGCCCTAAAATAGGGACCAATGGCCAAGCGTTGGGGGCACTATAAATACACTTTCCTTTGAAAGAGTTAGGTATTCCAAAATCACCCTAATACATTCTTACTTTGTACTTTCCTTCTCCTCTCCCCATTCTTACTTTAGCATCGGAGTGTCTTGCAGGTACACCCCCTCTTCCTTGGATTCCAGCACCGAACACGAAGTCTTTGACCCACTTCAGATTCTGATCAATCAGAAAGATCAATATATTTGAAATGTTATAGTAATAAATAATTTTTTTAAATATAAAAATATTAATTTTTTATTATTATTTTTAAATTAATCAATTTTATAGTTTTATTAACCAACATTTTATATTTTATTAACCAACTTTATTTTGTTACTAAAAATTATATTTAATATTTGTACGTTTATTAACCAAATTTATCACTTCATTAACCAACTTTTTACTTTTCATTAACTAACTTTGTTTTACTTCTAAATTTTTTAATATCTGAGCGTTTATTAACCAACTTCATCATTTTATTAACCAATCTTTTACATTTCATTAACCAACTTTGTTTTACTACTTAAAATCACTGTTCACGTGACATTGTTCATACACTGTTCATGATATTGTTCACACACTGTTCATGTATTGTTCATGATAAATATTTTTTTTTTATTTTAAAAAAAATGTTCACCGTATAAATACGGTGAACAGTGTATACAATATAAGTATTTGGTGTCAAATATGGGTGTAGGATTAGCATTCTTGAATGTTGTTATATGGTAGTATATAAGATATCTAAAATACACAATAAAAATTAATTAAAATATTCAACAAAAAGGCATGTGACACAAAAGAAGGTATGTTGTTTTTCTTATAAGAAAAAAAATGGAATTAAAAATGTGTATTAGGAGTGCTCATCCTTATACAACCAAGAAATCAAAAGGAGAACTCCAAAAAACCAAACCTAAAATAAACCAAATCTTGAAATCTCCGACAATAAACTCTAAAAGAAAGAAAACTACACCCAACATTACTGAGGTTATTATACCAATTGGACCGGGAAATATTCCTCTATTTTCTATGAAAAGTCATAAATCAATTCCAAGATAATGCCATCATAAAACTCAACACTTCCAACTTAACAATGGCATAATCTTTAAAAAGAATTGAGTTTCAACATGATTAAATAAAACAATAAAACATAAGACTAAAATATTTAAAATAAAAAGAATTAAAATAAATAAATCTATCTAAAAACATACCACCTAAAATCGAAAAATCTATCTCAATCAATAAACAAAACTTGTTCCATAAAAAATTTAAAAAAGAACAAAAATAAAACAAATACTCGATGTCTTCATCTTCCAAAAAAATTTCAATGGACAAACCATACAATTTTTTTTATAAGCAAAGAAGTTCATTGATGAAAGTATAAAGAGAAAGGCAAAAAAAAGGTGATGATACACCACAAGCCAAAGCCAAACTAATGTGATTACATGAGAAAGTCTAATGGTGCAATGCACCATTCATAAAAGCTACACGAGTATGATTTTTTTAGAAGACCAATCCAAAGTCAAGAGATGAATTTGATGTTAAACTCAATGTCCCTTGCATGACAAGATTATTCTTTGAAAAATACGATATTTTGCTTATTCCATATGCACCAACAAGAGATCATCCACAATGCTCATTCACAGTGTTTTTGAACCCTCCTTTTGAAAGCATTCAACACCATCTTGAAATCCATAGTACAATGTATTGGCAATGGTGTAGACAAGCCAATCCACTCTCATACATACTTCTAAACCAATGATGAAACGGGGCAGTTAAACATCAAATGATCAATTGATTCAAGCTCTTCATTACATAGTGCATATTTGGCCAAGGTAGAATCCAGGATGGTGTTTCTTCTAAGGAGATGCTCTCGTGTGGGAAGCTTGTTGTGAAATAATCTCTAGCAAAAAGTCTTCACCTTTGAGGGAACCTTCATCTTCTATAGTTTCCTCAAATTAGCATTCAACTACTAATGATGATCTTATTGTGCCTCAATAATCTGTATGTTGTTGTAGCAGTTTTGACAGAAAAGATGTGGTCAGAAACAGCCACCCAAATGAGTTGATCCCTTTCCAACATTTTAGGAGTGATCTCTGTCATCATCATATTCATATATCGGAGTTTAGTTGCAAAATTTAGATCTATGGAAGATCCAAGCTCCTCAAATTGCTAATGCCAGACACCATGTAACCAAAATCCATAATCACATACTATAGCCAATTTGTTTATTTCATGAGAATAAAGGACAGGGAAAAGTAACATCCAAGGATGAGGGACCAATCCAAATTCCTTTCCAAAATGAGGTTGAAACACCATTACCAATTCTGAATTTGACCATATGATTTATTCCAACTCTTTCCTCCATATGTCCCTTCAGATTTTTACCAATAATCATGAGGTCCCTTCACCATAATGAATGTAGGGAGGGATGGCATTTGTCAATGTCCAACCACAAACTATTAATGATTCCTCCATATCTATGTGACACAATTCCACTCCATATGACATCATCTTTATTGAAAAATATCCATATCCATTTGCACATCAAAGCTTGATTAGAGGTTCTTATCTCCTTCACAGCAAGACCACCTTCTGCCTTGCTTTTGAAGACCATTTTCCAACTAATCCAATTGACCCCCTTGCCCTTTCTTGAACCATGCCAGATGAAATGTCTTTGGATGCTAATGATTCTCTTCTTGACAGATTTTGGCATCCTGTAGAAGGAAATTTGGTGAATTGGTAGATTGTTAAATACATAATTCAAGAGTGTAATTCTGCCACCTAATGATAGGAATTTGGCCTTCCACCTAGAAAGCTTGCTTTTCAAGTTAGAGATGATATGTTGACAAGCTTCAGTTCTCCTTGGATTGACTTCCACCTTGATCCCCAAGAATTTGAATGAAATTTTGTCTATGCTGCAAAAGAGAAAATTGGAAGCTGCCAACAAAAAATCAAGGGTCAAACCAATACCATATAGTTTCCTTTTTCTCATGTTGATCCTTAGTCCAGAAACCATCTCAAAAGATCTTAAAATGGATTTAAAAGCCCGCAAGTTACTTAAAGATCCATCTCCAATCATGATAGTGTCATCAGCAAACTGTAAGAGGCTTAAGGAAGGTCCTCCAAGTCCATCATCCAACCTGAATTCTCTAAAAAAGTTGGTGTCCATAACATTCTTCATAATTCCAGCCAAACCCTCAGCTATGATGGCAAACAAGAATGGTGATAGTTGATCACCCTGCCTCAAACCCCTAGACACCTCAAAATCTTGAGTTGGACTTCCATTGATTAGAATGGACATGCTACTTTTGAAAACACAACCCTACATCCATCTTAGCCATTTCAATCTAAAACCTATCCTACCAAGCATGAACCTCAAGAAATTCCAACTAACATTGTGATATGTCTGGGCAAAATCCACCTTAAATATCAAGCATTCCTTTTTCCTCCTCTTAGCATAATCAATGATTTCATTTGTGACCAAAACACCACATCAAGGATTTTCCTACCTAGTATAAAGCCAGTTTGGGATTTGGATACTAATCTACCAATGAGTCTCTTGATTCTATTAGCCAAAAAATTTGTTATCACATTGTATAAACTATCAATTAAACAAATTAGTATGAAATCCTCCATCTTTTGTGGATTTTGTATCTTTGGGGTGATAGCTAAAAAAAGAGGCAGTAATGGCTTTAGGAAGGGTGGCATTCTTGTGGAATTCTTGTATGGCACCTATGATTTCCTCTCCCAAGAAATCCTAGAAATTCTCTAAGAAAGTGAAGTTAAACCTATCTGGTACAGGGCTTTTGTCCCCATCACAATCCCAAATAACTCCCTTGATCTCATCCCTAGAGAAATCTTTCTCAAGGCCCGAATTGTCAGCCTCTGTCAAACTGCTAAAGTTAACCCCTTCCACGGATGGCATGTATCCACCAGGATCAGTGAATCGATGTTTGAAGTGTTCTATAGCAATAGCTTTTATCATAGTTACTTCATTCATCCTACCCCTACCAGTGTTTAAGACAATAATGTAATTCTTCCTTCTTCTACAAGTCATCATATTGTGAAAGAATCTTGAATTTAGGTCCCCCTCCTTGATCCATTTTTGCCTAGACTTTTGTTTCAACAAAATTTCTTTTAGATGAAGGTTGCTCCAAATGAGATTTTGTGCTTCTTTTCTTACTTCAATCGGACTAATGGAGGATTGTGAATTGATGATACTGTCCAAATTTTTTAAGTCCTCAACAAAATTATCAATCTTGAGATCAATGATTCCAAAAACCTCCTTGTACCACTTCTTCAAGCTTGCCTTGAGTAATTTGAATTTTTCTTTCAAAGTGTAGGCCCTCATGCCTGAAACCTGGAATGAAGATCACTGCTCTTCCACAAATGTCAAGAAGTGTTTGTTGTCAAACCAACCGTTGATTGATCTAAAGGGGGATGAGACCCCAATTCACATGGCTTCCTTTGATCCATATAGGGTAGTGATCAGACCCTACTCCCAATTTCTTGTGCAATAAGTTTCCAAGTATCTATGATACCTTCAGACACAAGGAAACGATCAAGTGTACTCTTTGCTTTCCCATCTGAACTAAACCAGGTAAATTGGTTCCCAACAGTTGGAAGCAAAATCTTCCATTTCCACTCTATGGTTTCTAAGGCTGCTACCCATCCTCTCACTACTATGTTTAACTGAGTTGAAATCACCCCAATGAACCACTCCCCAACTCCTAACTTGTTCTTCCATTGAACAATCTTATTCCACATTATTCTTTTATCAATCAGAAAACATGAGATATTCAAAAAGAAAATGGTGTTACCTCTATACAAGGTTTGGATACCTATGAAACCATTCCCTTAAAAACACACAATTGGATCAATAATTCCACACCTCTATATACTAATTATCCCATCTGAATGGCCACAGGCATCAAAAGCAGATCAAGACACATCATCATGGCCCCACATGTCTCTTACAATTGCTTCTGTCATTCTTTGAATTTTTGTCTCTTGAATGAATATTAAATCAGCCTTGCCTTTCTCCACAAGATACCTTAATCTTTTCCTTTTAATGGCCGTGCGACACTCCTATGTTGATGGATGTAATATTCATGAGAAAGAAATTGCATACTGTCGCTACTGCGAAAATCGGCGCCGGCTGAACAGAAGAGTCGCCACCGTGCGTTATTTATCCCACGGGAGGGAAAGGAAACGCTCAGAGTAAACCTCGCACAACACGGGAAAGGCATGGTCGTCGCAACCAAAACCTGGATTCGGGAGTCGGTTACGCAAGGGGAAGGTATTAGCACCCCTCACGTCCGTCGTACTCGACGGGATCCACGCTTGTTTTCGGGTATGGATTGTTATTCTATCTACTCTAAAGGTCAAGGGTTAAAAAGAAAATAAAACTGAAAATAAAAATGACTCGGCAAAGTATCGCACTTTATGCCTACGTATTCTCGCCTGGAACGAGAAATCAGAGTCAACGTAGTTCGCCTACCTACGGGAAAGGAGGGGAAGGTTGCTCGCTAGGATATCGCATCCTATGCCTACGTACTTTCATACAGCATGAAAGATCAGAGCAAACGTAGTTCGGGCCACGTACGACATAAGTCTGTTTTGATTGTTTTTATTCCTTCTGAAAAAGGGTTTCTGATTAGCAGTCCAAGCGGACAAAAATGATGTTTTGATGAGGTCACATTCTTTTACGGAAGAAGTGTCTTTTATTGTGTTTGAAATCTTTATTGTGTTTTTCTGTTCGTTTTGAGAAAGAAAGAGACAGAACTCTATCCTGCGGTTGCGAAGGGAATCAAACTATCCTAATGTTATCATGCATGGGTTAAGACCTAGTGTCTATCATGCTCCTCTCTTGCACAGAGAGAAACAGAGATCCTACGGGATAGGCAGAAACAGAAACAATATCAGATATATACAGTAAAGCAGTAAAATGCATGGATGCAACAATACAAGCGAGGCAAGGGAGTCCCACTCAACCTCGAACCTAGAAAACAATAGGCGAAAGTGAACAGGCTTCACTTTCAACCCAGCAAGGTAAACAGCAAACAATACAGTCAGGAAAACCAATCAATACATCAGAAATGAAATACAGCAATAAAGCAAACAGCTTCAGCAGCTCTGAATCAACATATGGCTTCAAGTAATCTCCAATCAGCTACAGGCTTCAACAAGCATCAATCTCCATCTTCATGACCTTCAGGCAAGGGCTTTGATCATCAGTCTTCCATCTGCAACGGCTTTTCTTCAAGCTCAAACCTCCAAGATGAGGGATCAGTCACAAGAGTGAAGTGAATAAATGTTAGACAGTTGATTACCTACCAAGGGTGGTTCATCAACTGTTAACATTAAACAGAAAGTTTCCTCTCAAAAGTTCTATCTTTCAAATGTATTCACTGATCCTTCCAAAGGAAGGAGGTGGATATTTGAAAGAGACTTTGAATCATAGAGAAAGGATGGATGCAGACAAGGCAATCCATGTTTGAGAAACAAACTTTCTAATCTAGAGCTCTGCCTAGCTCCTAAACCCTAGTCTCCTCAGCAGATGCTAGCAAGAACCTCCTCTCCAACTCTGACAGTTGCTCTTCAATCTTTGGATCTCCAATGGTCTTCATCTCCTCAAGACTTCAGCTTCCCCCAGGTCCCAGACAAATCCAATACCCAAGCAAGCAAGCAATAATCCCCAGAGGGCACACCACACCAGACAATCAGATATACACAGACAGTAATAGCAGTAGGGGAGTCCTGACTTTTTCTAAGGGATCTAATAACTACCCATAGCCCTTATAGTCCCATAACTAATCTATTCAAACCCTAAGTCCTAAGGGAAATGAAATCAAACTTCCTAAGTCATCACCTAAAAACCCTAATTTGTTCATGTTGTTCAAGCATTCATTAAACACCTAAAATTAATTCCTAAAAATGGGAACTAAATTGAATCTACAAGTTCTACATCTAATCTAAACAACATAAAAAGAATGGATGAAAAATATGAAAGCATGTGATAGAACAAAAATTACCAAAATCATGCATGAAATGAATCTATTTAAAATGACATTTATTTAGAAAATATGAAAAAAATATGAAATAAAAATAAAAATGCAATTTTATTTTTCTATAATTTTCTACACATCCTAAAGAAAATGATGTAAAAAGAATGAAGTGAAAATGATTTTTTATGAATTTATTATGAATTAATGAAAAATCAAAAATATTAAGAGAAATAAAAAAAACAAAAATGAATGAAATAAATGGGGGAGGGGTGTAGTTAGTAGGCGCGCGCAGTTATATCCAGGATGGGCCAGGCGGCCAGGGGGTGTGAAAAGCAAGTTCACTAAGGCCCAGAACCAAGTCAGCATTAGTGAAACAATAAAAGAGCGCTGGGGGGTGAAAATAGCATCAGATTCATGTTCAAAATCAAAATGGGCTTAAAACTGGGGGTGGGGATATCAACATCAAACTCAGGCCCGCCCGTTTCAATTAATGAAACGGTGCGTTTGGCACCTGACTCATCTCCCTCCAAAAATCAGATTAAACGCTAGCCCTAGGATTGCTCTACAAGTCAAAGGTCTCACACGAAATGAAAGGTCCAGATTACATCTTCCTCCTTGGTTCACATGAATTAGGGTTTGCCTCCATGGAAGCTCATGCACGAGCTCCATTCCACCAATCGGTTCTCCCTCTACAGGCCACGAATCAACCCGATCTCAACATGAAAAATGTTCTAAATCTCTCCCTCTACAATCCTATGGCGCTAGTTTGCTTTGAAATTCAACACATCAACAAACCCGATAGCAACAACTTCTGACTCCATGAAAGCACTCTGCAACTCACCATCACAATTCTCCATCAAACCTATCCTAATCTGCTCTATGCATAATGGTGATTAACCTGACCTATCAAGCTAAGATTATGATGCATTAACCTAAGAGTTTCAAGCCCTAACAGTTTCTACAACCTGCTAACAATTGTCTCTAAACCACTCCAAATTCACCCTAACTGCTCTACTAACAACCTACATTACATCTAAACTAACAAAGCTGTGCCTAACTAACTGAATCAAGCAATTTGAATGAAAACACACCTGGTGCAAAAGCTTGAAAACAGCTATGGAGACTTGTGGATCTGAGGCTTCCAAGGCTTGGATCTTGATCAATTAACTCAATACTCAATTCTGTATGCAATACTTTGATGATTCCTGGCTTGAATTGTGCTGTCCAATGGAAACTTCAATTTTGATGTTGATGATGAAAGTGCTCGAAAATGGATGAATCACACTTGGTTCTTGGTTGAATTATGATCTATGATGATGAATCAGTATGATGAAGTTGATCTTGATGATGATTTGGTGAAGAATTTGAGGAATTGGAATGAAAATTCAATGAAAAAGAATGAGAGAGTTTGTGAAATTCTTGGTGCAAATGAAGCCAACCCTTGATCAATCCTCATTTCATGAATATATAGAGCTCACATGAACATTCTAGATCCATCTTGCACATTCCCTTGCCTTCCAACTTTGATCCATTTTTGTTATGTTTCTTCAATTACAAGTAACCAATGATAACTTTCTTTTTTCCTTCTAAACTCAAAAAAGTGTTTGAACCATTGTTCTTAGAATTGCTTTTCCATTCAAAATCATATATTGGAAGTCTCCATTTGGACTTGTAAATCTCCCAAACCATTTTTCCTTTTGAATTTCTTTGAATTATAAGCCTTTTTAGTTCAAATTTTGACCAATTATGCAACTTCATGTTATGAGCTTTTCCAACAATTTGTGACCTTCTTTCTAGACTTAAAATCCCATTTGGAGCAAGTTTGATGTTGTAAGTTTTTCCATTTGAGGCCTCCTTGTATGAGTTTTGGACATAGGTTAAAATGACCTGTAATTCACAAATGCCCAAAATACCCTTTGCTTGCCAAGACCATAAGTTGAGTTCCACACATCATATGAAGGCATACTATACCATTCTAGAAAGCTAAGGAAATGAGGAACAATTCTTATGTTGACCAAGAATTCATCTGAAATCTCCTTGAGGGGTAAAACTAGCTTGGAAGTCAAGTCACTTTCACAGACAAAAATTCAGATACCTCAGATGACCTGTAACTTGCAAGGACCATAACTTGAGTTCTATAAATCTCCTTGATGTATTCCACCACTCAAATTAAAGGTATTGAGATCCTCTACAAGTTTCATGTTGGCCAAGAAGCCATTTGAAGCTAGCATTTTGACTTATCTTGCTTGGAAATTTGACCTAAACTAGGGGATTTTACACAGAAACCCTAATTTAGTAACTCCTCTTCTCCTTGATTTCTCTTGAATTCTCCTTGGCATATCTC